CTAGAACGAATAAATGAGAGCATCATACACGTTTTGTGGTCTGAAGTTGTAAACAAATGAACTCCATGAAAATTTTCAAATCTTTTTTTCTTTTTTAGAACTAATCTATCGCTCTCAAGCTCTAAAGTGATATCGATATATGAACTAGCGATAGCCTAATTTTGTTACTAAATGGCCGTGACGTTCTCACTATGACATATCAGAATCTTATCTTAAGTCTGCCTTTTTCGTTGGATTAGGCCGGCCACACACGTTGAGATAAATGAGACGTCATAATTATTTTCGAAAGATAATGAAAACTTGTTTTTTAATCTATACAAGTACTTATATCCAACTTTATCTATATAACTTATTATTTTTTACACTTTAGCATCGCGCACAATAATACCTATATAATTTAAAAGTAAAATTAAAAAATCGAATTATGCTACGTATAAACGTAGCATAATTCTTAAGGAAATAAATATTTAAAAAAAATATTAAAAAATGTGAAGAACTTGTACACTGCAATAAATAAAATATTTTGTCGTCATTAAAATCTAAAATTTATTATATTCAAAAACATATGCATTTTATTAAACACACAATAAATGTACAAGGAAGCAATGTTAATTGTTATGACAAACCACTTGACCCACATATTTGAAATCAGTACTTACTACTAAGATTATATTAAAATGTGCGCAGTATTTCTAATCACATAACCTGTCGAAGATATACATGTAACATAGTTCACATTAACTCGATTATCCTTCACCGTTTTTTCAGTAATCAACCATATAAAATCAACCTAATGGAACCTATTAAAACCTTTAATGTAAGTGCAGATAAAAATTTGAAAATCCTGAACAAGTACATATTATTTTTTATTGCCTGAAAGCGGTTCATTATTTAAAATAAATATTCCTCTAACTATAATTTAGTGCCAGGTTTCGCAAGGTAAATGTAGGATACAAAATTAGAAGTCATTCTACATAAATACCAAAGTATAAAATAAAACTTCTAAAAAGCACCTTTTTTAACAAATGAGGTGTTAACTGTTTTAGCGTGCTAAGTGACAATAAAAAAAAACCGTTCTATGTGTCTCTAGTAAATCTGAAACGTTGAGGTGCCTAGAAATATGTTTAGAGATTAATGTCACGTAACGTTTTGTATGTGGTAGGTATGTTCAACATAGCACTGGCCTGGATAAAGATTATTTGTACGTAATAAGTGTTTGCACGGCAAATAACGGAAAACAACTTGGCTGCGGCAAACAGATTTCTTTCAACACCGTCCTAAAATAATACGAACTCACCCAGTTCAAATGTGAAGATTTAAAGGTGATATATAAGAGGACTTACATCTAAGACTTTTAAGTAAGGTACAATTCCATTGTTAATTAAAATTGCTAAGGTTACAATTTTTTTTTCTTCAATTGTACAGAGATCGCTTCTGTCTGGTCTACTGTCCGAATGTAATTAAAGAATATTAAAATATTAAAAATGTAATTTTTTTTTCTAATGAATTGAGATCAATTAAAATTATTGTGTTAGTCTTCAACGTTTGACGTGACGTCAAACGTTGAAGACATGAGTGACAAAAACCAAACAAAACTTTTTTTTTAAATATAATACTTATTTATCAGATAGGAGTAAATATAGACAAACAAAGTTTGGTTTTTCAGATTAATTATTATTTTGTCATGACAACCACGAAGCCCAAGAAAAATGGATATAAATAAAAAGTGTTTTGTGACGATTCAGATTTAAACCTAATTTATACAAAAATATTATTTATATAAAAAATCGTAAATTTATTGTTATTTTTAATGATATTGTATTCCCTATAGACTACTAAACGAAGGTGGCCACACAAGACGGCGTTATTACTGCTGGATTAAATAATGAAAACTCTCGACTACACGATTTAATAAAACTAAATTTCTTCATCTCGTAGCGTGTAGTGTTCGCGTACGTAATCACGGCAAATGATAGGTGTTGATCGCTAAAGACTGTCGTTTGAAGAACCGCGTATTAACTTGGAACTTATCTACACCAGCTCAATTCACTGCGTCTGCGTAAAAACGATGACTTCCTTATTTAGGAATACACTTTCGAGATTTTAGTATTTATTTTTTTAAATTATTTATTTATTAAGGACATACTTTTTAACAAATATACACAGTATTATGTCAATTAAATATTAGGATAAAAACTGAAACTAACGCCTTCCATAAATTATAGGAGACCACAGCATTCATTATCTAAAACTAAGTAACAGAAACAATTTAGATCTAATGTAAAACTAAAAAAATTAAAATTAAAATTTTCAAAACAAAAGATAACACCATTCAAACATTTAAAAATACATAATAACAAGTTGTTTTATAAATCATCTATTGCTTCAGCGTGCAACATTTATCAATGTTCCAGTGCTGAGTAATCACACAATGCAAACAAATATTTCGAATAAAAATATAATATTTGTAATGAACATATTACAATAATACACAACTCTATTAATTAATTATTAAACATTGAATTGATTTGTAGTGACTTTATAATAAGTTATAGATGACATTGTATTAAAGATGGCATTAAAAAGACCTACGAATCTTTAACCGTTTCATCTCTGAGGAGGTTTTGTTTTACAAACCGCTGTAGATTTAGACCACTAAAAAGGTTTTGACTTTGACTTTGATTACTAAAAATAATAAACTATTATAAATAATTAAGTTTTATGTTGTTGGTTATTTATTAAAAGTTTTTGCTTGTTATATTTCATGCAACTGAAGCATTTATAAAGCCAGAATGTATTTATATAATGTCGTTTGTTAATAAAAAATACTTTTACTTCAATGACTCTATTTTTTACTATTATAAGATAAGTAACAAAGTTATAATCATAAGTTATACTGGCCACTTTAAATAAGATTAAGTACTGTACAAAATGAGTCTCTCTCGATAAAAGTATATAACTGTATTCAAGAATAATTCAGTATAAAAATATACTATCACAAGTTGTACAAGCATATCGGCCGCAGACAGTCCTATCAAACCAGACTAATGCGAATGGTATGATAGCGGCTGCAATTATTGGATTCGCTAATCCATTTACATCGGTTAAGTGATCTTGTTACTATTATGTAAATTTAATTTGTAGATAGCTCCGGTAGCTCAGAAACCAAGCGTTTTCCTTAAATTTCATAGTCCGCGAAAATACCAAATTCGAACCCCGCCGGCACCACTGAAATCCTTTATCGCATTTTTTATTATAAAAGGAAAACTTCTTGAGTATGCCTGCATAATATATCTAGGCATACCAAAAGAGTTTAAATGCGATTTATTCATATGTTTGAAACTGGAAAGTATACATTATCGTAAAAGTTGGATATTTATATGTTGGGCCGTGCTGCTGACAGATTATGGTTAAAGCACGGTTGAGTCCGCTCGACCGGAGAAGGACCACGCTCTCACGGAACACCAAAACGTAAAATAGAAGGTTAATTCTGATGTGATTCGTATGGTGAGTGTAGAAAACCGGAGACCCTTTTTACTGGAGATGAAGCATTCCATCTTAGTCCTCAGGATTGAAAACGCATCTGCATTTTGATTCTTAACTCTTAACCGAGGATAGATGATTTGATATATGTTTATGGATACAGTATTCACTTCATATCTAAACAACTATAATCCCGAAACAAAGCACATTTGGCTGACTTGGTTTGCTTTGAAAATGATCCATTTCGAAAGAAATGTTGCCGTGAGGCAAGTACACAGAATTACATAGTTACTGCTAAATGGATTAAATTGCTATTGTGGTGCTTGGGGTTCAAAAAACGGTATGGTATGTAACTATATGATGAAATTCCTAGAGGTATGTTAGTTGGTGCTACAAAAGTATGTGGTGGCGCTGTCGTCGCGCCGCAAGCGAAACAGTATACTACATAAACAGTATATATAGAACATCTCCGAACTATCACATGGAGCGTTGGCCGCTCCCCGGGCAGAACACCTTGCCCGGCGGGAAATCTCCCCTTTTCCTTCCACGGCCACAAGTATTACTAGTTTGGTGTGACAAACGGCCCAAGTCCAGGAATTCCATATCATCATATCTGGCACTACGACATTGCTGCACCGCACTCGTCTAACAAACGCCTTTTTAATTATGGTACTTGTAATTTACCTATTTGACAAAAATCGAAAAAAACTTTAAAGACTAGGCTTGCAAGGAAAAGAAGCTTATAATTTCGAGCTTTCTGTGGTTTCTAAAGAAGAGTGGTCAGAGGTATTTTTCAAAGGTTTGGAAGTAGGTTTGCAGGTTTGGAAGTTATAATTTTTGTGTATCTTAATTTTTTTGACATGACCATCATTCAATTGAAGGTATTAAGGGTTCCTATTCAGCTTTGGTGGTTTGAAAGAGAGAGTCGGCAAGGGACGCTCTAGACGGAACTTTATCGATCAAATTGGTAAAACATTGAAGATGGGACATGTTAAGTGTACCTTTAACCGACGATTTTCTATTTGTAGATATACGGATATAAAAAACCAGAGAAAAATTTGTGAGAATCGTGCTACATGTAAGCCTGTCGTTTCTGCCTACTCCTCTGAGTAACAGGCGTGAGAGTTTATGTTATATGTTAAGATTGGAGGCAAAATAGAATGCAATCTGAGAGATATTTCTCTATCACGCAAAAAATAAGAAATTTTATCAATAAAAATAATTTTAAGCACTTTGTCTTTAGAATATGACAGAAATAATTTACACAACCAAACCTTACGCGTGTCACAATGCGCACTTGACAATTTATTTTTATTTATCTACTTAATATTAATTGTTTACTTATAATATTTTATTTAACAATGAAACTTATAGTGTTGATCATAGTTTACCTTTTTATTTCAATTTTAGAAATTTTACTTCCAGTATTATTTTCCAAAAACAATCTACTGGTTCAAGGTATTAGAAACTCTTGTCTTGTTATTTGATATTGTAATTATGTTTATAAGTAGACTTACCATCAGGAGGCACAATATCTTCGCAGAGACGGCAAGCTGTGGTAACCTGGGAAAGAGACATAAGTATATTATTATTGGTTTTTTGATATTATTGGTGAATAAAATACTTACATGTATATATTAAGTTGTAATCATGTAAACTTAGTCTTAGAATCTAGTTGAAATAGTTGTTGGAATTTTTGTAATAAAATAAATAGTTTTATGTTTAGGTATATGCATTACACGATGCTTTTTTTCACGATTAGGTACGAGTATATGCATTACACGTACCTGCTAATCAAGAAGGAGTCTGTATAGACTAAAAATCAAACCAAAATTACACATAGGCTAGTAAAGTGTGGCAAGCCGCATTGCCAGTACGAGGGTGTTGTCCCTACGCTTAATGGCTCGCCTATTGATAACTAATAATAAGACACAAAAGATGGCCTTGAAAAAGAGTAAATAGTCAATTTGAAAGGCTACTAAAGAGGTGTAAGAAAAATATAGTGTATTACCCCATACCCCAATGAATCCCATCTTGTTTATTAGCCCGTTATATTCCAGCGTCGTATATGGGCTTTTTCCGCTGTAGGGTGGATTTGCTGCAAATTAGCAAATTGAATTGCCATACTTCAATCGGATTGGCAATCACAGTATCAGACATCTCGCTCCTCTGATGTTGCTCCTCGTCACGTTTTACATTTGGTATTATATATAGTAAATATATAGTATATATATATATATATTATATATATATATATATAATATATATATATATATATATATATATATATATATATATATATAATATAAATATTATTCAAAATAATATAAATTATTTCGAATAAACGAAAATTACATAATGTATTGATACTATTTCGCTTTTGAGTCCATCTGCATTGGTATCATTTAGATCATGAGAAAGTCCAGATTTTAATATAATATAATATATACAGAACGAAAAAGGACAATGATAACAGCTGTAATATCTGATATATTTTTTTTAGTATTTCAAGAGGGAAGTGCCTTTCAATGTTTATATAATAAGTGAAAAATTTGACAATTTATGTTTTTTTTTAGAATAATAAACAAAAGCGAAGTCGAATCGTACTAGGTGTTGGAAATGAAGCGAAAAAATAAATCATTTTTTAACACTAACTTACCTATATCTTTAAAACATTATGTAAGCTAAAAAGTACGATTAAATTAAATGAAGTGACAATCTATAAACATTAACTTTTATGGCTTATTTTACGCAAATAATGATGAGTATAACTTCGATCCCCGGCCTTTTGTCTATGTTCATAGTGTAGTTAAGTCATTTTTCTCTGTTACTTTATCATGAGAGCAACGAAAAGCTATAATAATCCTTCTTAAAATATAAATTTGCAAATATCAGCACCATGTACATTGTACATTGTAAAATTGTTCTCTTACGCTTAAGTTTCTATAGAAAATTATTACGAGCAAAGTAATAGCAGTAGTTAGTAATGAGCAGCATCGTCTTTCTAATAACGACTAGAATAACAAAAACTGCGGTTGCCAAGTGCCAACCCGTTGCCAAGCGAGGCCAATGGCAACTATGGCAAATATCCCACTTATGATGCAATCTATGGGGAGCCCTATGTTTAATAGTGGAGGTAATAGGCTGAAACGGTAACAGTAACGTAAGAGATGTGGTTAAAGGCTTAAAAACTGCCTCTTATAACACCGACGAGACGGTACGAGGTGATGAATTCTCATACGAATCTAGTGAATCGTATGGTATCAGGCGTCATTCAGGTATCATATCATCAGGTATTGATAAGTGAGTATGAGTTGCAAAATGATATACAAGTTAGAAATTGAGTTTATGTTAAATTATGTTTATGTTTCAAATCGAATAAAATAATATCAGCAATATCCGTTCGAAAACTCCGGTTCGAAGTTTTTATGTAGCTATAAAGTTATGATCATCATTTATAATAAAAGACGAATAGTAATCTATTATATACATAATTAATATTAAATAAAACATAGAACATTTATTAGCGCATTTTAGAAATATTTATCGCGGCGCCATATTTTTTTTATCTAGTTATAACGACATTCCATAATAATACGGCAATAAATCAAAATAGTTTTACGACCGCAGCTTGTTCTTTTAATGCGAATATATTAAAATAAATATAATTTTAATATAACATACGGCTAGCTTTAAAAACGTAGTCACGTCTATGGTTTCCGGATGTGTCTACTTGAAAATGGAAAGCGTCAATATAGTTAAGCAAATTTGTGGTACGGATGCTCTGAACATTGTTTATCGAGTAGATTAACATTGACAATGTGTGTTTTTTTTTCTTTCCTTTAAACAATAGCACTTACCTTCTTTTAAATACCACTCTGTATAATTTCCATATATACAGTACAGCTTTTATATCTTAATATAACCTAAGACTGGGAATTGTGATGATCATGTTTTACTAGTTACGTTAACATAGCTGTCGAATATACTTCTCAGGCCCTCGCTTATTCTTAACGACCGTGATAAAGGATTAAGAGGGCTATGTCCCAATTAAACAACAAAGTCTCAATATTATCTTTCTACATCTTCTATAGAGATACAAATTTATGTGTATATAAGCATATAATTTTTCTTATCAATGAAAATAGCTAAGGTCGTGATAAATTATTAAAATTCTGTGCACAGTTCATACTACGTAGATGAACTGTACACAGATTCGTGGAAATTGGACAATTAGTTTCAAAGGAGATAGCTACCAAAAATTGCATCGGATTCAGCGATACGAGGGATACGCTCCACACAAATTACTATACAACGACCTTTTTCAAATATTTGGAAAAAATGGAAAAACAAAAGGTGGAGTAAGAGGGAAAAAAAAAAAAAAAAAAAAAAAAAAAGTCCTTGAAATAGGTTGATGTACTTTCTCACATCAATCTCCATAGACTCGTTCGTTAATGCAGTAGTATTACGTGATAGGCTACCCTATAGCTGTGTTACGGCTGATGAAAGAATGTGTCTTTGGCTAAATCGGCGAAGGGCATGCTCTCACAAAATACCAGTGTTATATAGCGGAATAACGATGCTGGGTCACTTACTGTAAGAGAAGTAACGTAGTTTGCGAGAACAGAGGCCGTTGTTGACCCCAGTATTAAAGCATACTACTACATGTACTATATTGATAACATTAGTTCCCAGAGGGTTTAAACGCATGTTTATTTTGAATCCTAATCAAGACAATACGTCTAATCACAGCATCCATTTGTTTGAATGTGTGTTCGTTACCCTTACTTGTATATAAAAAAAACGACGGGTTGCACTCTGGTAGTGCCGGCAGAAGTGAAAATTTGAATATTAACGTTGTGCATTTTTGATATTTTGGAATGGTAAGGGAATAATTTTGCACGAATTGATTTAATTATTATATATGTGGTAGAATACAATATTTATTTATTGCGTTATCGTACACAAACATGACAATTTATATTATATTAAAAAGTTTAACACACGAACATTCGCGCAAGCGCCCTGCGCCGCCTAAACGAAACAGCAGGCGCAGGCATATATTTTCGCCGCGCCGTAGAAAGAGAGGGGGATACATCCTCTCCTACTCCGCACCGGCTGTCTCTGTCTCTCCATCCGTCTTACGAATTTTTGATCGAAAAAAGTGTACAACCTTTCACTTTCACTTTAACTTAAAAAAATAGCAAACCGTACTAAGCTACAATATGAACAAAGAATATATTTCATATTCTATATCTGTTAATCAGAACATAATAATTAATAATATAGCTTCAAATACTATATTAACTCCTTAACGTAACGTAACTTACTCACGGCGCGTTTGTAAAACGATCCCCGTAGAGTGAGTCGGCGCCAGCGCTGGCTACGCAGGCCGCTTTATTTTAGTCAACGTCGCGATTTCCAATCGCGTACCAGTATGGTGTTAGGACACGAGAAAAACAGTTACGAAGTCGTCTAATTATTAAGTTGACACGTTTTAATACGCGTTGTCATGTGAGACTGTAATCCTGCCTATTTAACATTACTTTATTTTTCTTTCAATCTATTTTGTACTTCTATGTTATGTACTTATTATAAGTTATAACGTTTTAATTTTGATTTACAAAATTGATTAATGAAAAATATAAGTTCGTGGTCGTTCTTCCTGAGTCGTATATGAACGAAGTGGTTTACACCCCTATCTCAAATAATGTAACGTACATATTTGTTTTACGACTATGATAAATGTATATCTTTTCCTTGTAAAATAAAAAATATGGGTCAATTATTAGTTTAAACGAAATTTATTCACACTATAGCTTCAAAAACTATTTGTAATTTGTACGTCCGTTGTTGGTAAATATCCTGTACTGTCGGTATGAATTCAGGCGTGGCAATTTTGAAAAAATATTGTGTTGTATTTCTATCTCGATTATTCAGTATTACTTACAAATTGGCAACTAACAAATGTAGATCGAGTTTTAATTTGTTGCTCATAAAAATCCAATTGCTAAGTGATTGAGGGGACTATTTTTTAGAAAAATAAATACTCTAAAGTATCTTAGTTGTTAAAAACTTAAGTATTTGATTTCATAAATTGTAGAATTCGTTAAATTTTAGGTTTTGATCGTAGGAAAAAAGTAGATTATCATGCAGTTCTTCGCAATAACAGAAGAACACTCGCTGCGTTTTTTTTTAATAGAATAAGGGTGACAAACGAGCACACAGTCCTGATGGTAAGTGGATGCTGTGGCCCATAGACATATATATTTATCCTTGATTAAGAATCAAAACGCAGATGCATTGTCAATCCTGAGTCTAGTAAAAAGGCGTCTCCGGATCTCTACACTCACCATACGAAACACAGCAATATTAAGCTGCTATTTTACGCAAGTATTCTGTGAGAGCGTGAGCTTCCCCGGTCGAGCCGACCCATTCGTGCTACAACCATAATATAGCAGCAGCGTAGCTCTACCATGTTTCCCTCACTGAACGTCTATACGTAGCCTTTAGTTAAGAATATAACCAACCTTTTCACCAGCGCAGCGGCGATACTAAGCGCG